CCAGAACCCTGTCTGGCACAAGTGAAGTGCGATCTGCCTTTCAGACGTCCAAATGGAGATACTGCATAGAGAATCGGACCTTCAACCTCAACGCATCCGAAGCCCAACTCATCACCTTCTGGTCTCACGCCGGCGGCTCATGAGTTCCACGTCTCAGTTAATGGTCCCATCACCCATCCCAAATGCCCAAACAGGAGTTCTGGGGATCACCTCAACCTCTAACGGGTCACCAAGCCTGCCTGGTAAGTGTGCCACAAATCTATCCCCAGCTCCCCATCCAGTGCCTGTCTCATGCCCAGCTGACCACAGTGGCCTCCTCAACCATCTCCCTGCCCCAGGCCTTGCTCGCTTCTGATCCACTGTCCATCCTGCTGCCCCCGGGGGGGTTGCTTACTAAAGATAAAGGGGGACATCTCGAGGTATCGTCCTTCAGCTGATGGTGTCAGATAAGAGAGGCTCACTCCAGGGACACCGGGCAGTATTTCTACACCCTCACGTGCTCCGAGGAGTTCTTTGGTGACCACATCTGTAGTACCAAAGCTCCAGACCTTGAATCCCAAGGTCCCAGATTCAAGTCCTGACTCCCAGCCTTCTCGGCTGACGACGGTGGTCAGGTAATCATAGAACATATTGTCCCAACTCGTGAAAAAGATGCTATTGGTGATGATGATAGGACGACAGGCGTTCATTGCTCTGTGGTGGGCTGACTACAAGGTGCGGTTTCCCTAGGGGTTGGACAAGTGACTAAATCTCTCCGAACCTCAGCTTCCTCGAGGGTACAAGAGGATAGCTATGCTAAGTAGCAGGGTCACCTGAGGATGCAATGTGCGTGCAGACACCTAGCAAGCGTCTGACACAAAAAGAGAAACTCACAACTAATCTCACATGAAGCACTGCTTGAAAGCCAGTGTCACACAGCCCTGCTAAGCGTTCCCTTTACGTTTTTCGATTGGAAGAGGAGCAATTCTGAGAAACTCCAGTCATTTGAAGTCCCCCTTCATTATTAATTTTATAGAGAATTATTTTGTGGGTCTGGCTCTTTTTTTTCTTTTTTGGTAATTAGATGCTGTAAAAAAAATTTGGCGATTTTCTCTTCTTTGTAATTAGAAATAGCGATTAGAGTATCTTTTATATTACATGGCATTTTTCCTTTAAACAATTGTATACATTTTGTATTCTTTGCTTTTCTCCATACAGACTTTAATGAGAATGGACTCATTGTGTACCATAATTTGCTATTATTATAGCGTGTCATGAAAATGAGTTATTCCCGTCACAGAAATATCATGCCCGGTGTTTAATGTGTTTGTGCTGGTGGGTTTTTATCTTTTCCCTCTAGGGACAGAGGAAATGTGTTTGCCAAGGTTCGAACCCCCTTGAACCTGAAAGGCTGGGGAATTACAAAGCCAGCATAGGCACCCTGGTGCCTAAATGGTTCCCCTTCTTTCGTGGCACGGAGTAAAGCCTGAGTCAGTGGACAGGTTTTCCACGTCTCATTAAAAAGCACCCAGGGTTCTAAACAGTTGGTTCCCAGCACATGACAGCTGTTCAAGCTTGGAACGAAGAGACCAGAGCAGGTCGCTTCTTTAAGACTTGAACAGGCCGTGTAATCGTGAGGTTTGTCAGGGAACCAAAAATACCTCTGGAAATTTGCCCGTGTTTCTCTCTGCTGCCGAACGCAAACTGGCTGCACAGAAGTCACCCCATACTCGATCGTAGGTGGCACAGCCTGGACTACACGCAAAACGTGCCAGCGATCATGGGATCGTGGCCTGTCTGCTCTGGCCTTCCAGCGACATGTGGGAGCCAAGACGGGGAGAGAGGACGTTATCTGTGCAGCTCACAGTGAGATGGGTGCCTGGTGGCCGGGCTTTCCTGAAACGGGTAACTTCCACACGCCTGCCTACCAATTAGAGTGTGCTGGACTGGAGGTTGCTCCCAGGGGCAAAGATGTAATTTGGATATCATGTTCAGATAGGAAGGTGGGAGTAGACAGGAACAGACTGGCCATAGCCCTGGGGCAGGGGTGCCTCTGTGCTGGGATGTCTCACACCCCTGGTTAGGGTTTGTACCATGGAATTGGAGCAGGAGGGACATGCCACATGGGAGAATGAGGGGGGTGGTCTGGGCAGGAAACTGATAGCACCCTCCAAAAGGGTGACTGGGGAGTTTATGATGGCCCTCCTTACACGGGTGTGGCCCCAGCCGTCCTGGGAGAACCCCAACCTCCAGTGTGCTGGGGCGGTCCTGGACTCACAGGGGCCAGGTGTGGGTGAGGCGGGTCCTCTCCCCACAGCAGAGCGACGGAGCTCACCTGCCCCTGGAGAGCGGAAGCAGGGGTTCAGGATGCTAAGTGATAACAGCCCTCCCTCTGTCCTGCGGATTCAGGCTTGTAAACCCCCACTGTCATCTCATGTCCTCCAACTCTCCCAGCAGCCCTGAAGGCAGTCTTCGGGGAAAATCATTCATCATTCCCATTTTATAGACGGGGAAAAGGGAGGTCCAGTAAGAGGCTTGAGCCCTAGCTAACCCCCTGGGGAGAGCCGCAGCTGCCTGGGGTGGGGGCAGGCTGAGGGAAGGTCGGAAAAGGGGAACATGCGGTCAGCGGCTGCAGTCGGTTGGGGTGGAACCTCAAAGTTGCCTCCTTTACGCATCCCCCGTCCCACAATCAGCCCTGGCCCGGTGCCTCCAGGTTAACAGGCCAGGATCTCACAGGAAATTTGCGGAGTTGAAATCCCAGCTCTACCTCTTACTAGCCATGACTTTGTGCAGCTTACCTCACGTCACGGTGCCTCAGTTTCCCCATTTCATGGGACTGAGATGAGGATGACATGAGCTCATTCAGGGAGAGCCCCATGGACCAGTGTGGACAGGGCCCTGTGTGCAGCTGCCCTGTTTGTGTAAGTCACAAAGTGCCAGTTTGGGGGTGAGGGGGCTCAGATACCCCTAAAGCTTGGTCGGCCAAACCTTGTACCTGTGAGCTTGTGTCTGCCCAGGGAGGGTACCTTTCCTAATTCATCCATCTGGACGGGTGCCTTTTTCTGATTCCTAACAAGACTTGCCTTAGCCAGCAGGGGCCTGGCTCTGGAATGCCAACTCATTCAAGGTGCCCATGAGTATGTTATTACGGGTTTTAGTCCCTCAGGTGCTCCTCTTCTGCTCAAATTGTCCTCTGGGAAGGAGCCAAGCCCCATTACTGAATCCAGAGAGAAAGAGTATGAGATGGCATCCACAGTGTGTCCCTGCAGAGATCCCCGTGGAGAGCCCAGAGTGCGGACCTGGGCTCCACTCTCAGCCACCTCAGCCTGGCCGTGGAGCAGCCTGAGTCCCCACACCCAGCCCCCTGCCCTTCCCTGCGGGACGTGAGTGAGTGCAGGTGAGCTGAGTGTAGCCCTCGCTTGGAGAATAATTCCCTTAGACCTTGGAACAATTCCCTCCTGCTTCCCGCGTGCAGGTGTGTGACTCTCTTCCCAGCTGAGGACTCATATTTAAGCAGGGCAGGGTGACATTCCATCATTAACACCTAATGCAGTTGTCCTGAGTTGTGTAAACAACTCAGTTCTGCCTCGCCGCCCCCCCCCAGCCCCTCCCCAGTATCATTGTTTTCACTCCCCTAAATTCAGATGTAATTCAAGTCGGAGAAATCGCGGCTGGATTACATCTGCAGGCAAGGAATTATTAGTATGACTTTTTGGCGGTGTGACAGTGATGTTTCGACAATCTATACATATTGATTTAGGTCGATAATGAACAATTTGATTAGCCTCCCCATCCATGGGCTGTCATTTCAATCACTGACAGGGGCCCAGCAGAGTGGAAGGGAGGCAGCACACACAAGTGGCAAGAATTCTCAAAATAAGAAACTCGGTCCTGATTAGAGGCCTGGCTTCGGTGAATTGGACAAGACAGCTCAGCTGCCACGTTATTAACTCCCTGGGAAAATACTCGGCTGGTCCCCGGGGCCAGCCCGCATATTCTGATGTGGATCAATAAGCAATCTCCGGTGTATATGGAATTCAGACTTGAATCATTTGTCTCCGGCTCCTTTCTCCAAAGGGAGCCCCGTGGTTGTGGTCGGAACTGGCCTGCCGCCCTAGCACCCCACCCCCACCCCGCACACACTCCCCTTTTAACTAATGACCCGCCATGGAGGAGGCCAGAGAGCTGAAACCTCTTCCATCATCGAGAGAGGCTCTCTCAGGTGGACCTAATGATGGTAATGGCCTCCTTTCAATTTTTTTAAAAACGATGCCCGCCCCGACATCTTGGGGGTGAATTTGTGTAAGTGACAGGCATGCCCCTCAATGACAGATACTCAGATGTCCCAGTAATGAACACCTCCCCACAGTGTCCTCACCTGATGATGACACTTTAACAAAGCAGGGAAGTCACCCTTCTTCTTCCAGCCTCTACGGGAAAGACAGAAGGGTGGATGCCACCCAGAGATGCTGGTGGCCTGGACTGGGGCTGGTTCAGGAGAAAAGAGGTGACAGCGGGCAGGCTCCAGGCTTTCCTGTGAGCTGGCTTCTTTGGTCGCTGGTCACCCATTGATGAGTTCCCTGGGCTGCAGCAGCTGTTAGTGACCACCAGATGCCATGTGCTTTGGTGACAGTTGGAGACCCTGAAGGGCACTGAAGGCAAGGGACCTGCAGGAACCGCACAGCAAGCCATCTACTGGCAGGGACCCTGTCTCTGCTCACTGCCCACAGTTGGGAAGGCAGGATGGTTTAGCAGGTAGGAGAGGCTTTGGGTCAGGCAGATCTGGGGGCAGCCTCTGGTGAGTTGCTTCATCTCTTGGAGCTTCAGTTTCTCCACGTGTAAACTGAGGCTACTAACAGCCACCTTGCAAATCTGTGGTGAGAATTTAATGAAATAATGCAGGGAGAGCCCAGCCCGGTGCTGCTGGCATAGCAGATGCTCAATAAATATTGTTTTTAGCATCAACATGGGATAACAAAGGCAGTGAGTTTTACACATTTTTATTTACACATTGCTTTTATCTTCAGACGCATCTTTTAAAATATGAAATCTTAGAAATCCTGCTCCACCATCCTCAGGGCCATGGGGCTGATGTGTCTTCCTGTTCCAAGGTGGCAGGCCATGGAATATGTGTTCCAGGAAGTAAAAAGGAGGAAGGGGCAAAACAGATCGGGGCAAAGAGTTAGAGTACATACCAACTCTTTTTTAATAATAATTTTTAAAAATTAGTTTTAGAGTTATAGAAAAATTGTGAAGATGATACGAAGAGTTCTCATAGCACCCACAACCAGTTTCTCCATGAGCATCCTGTGAAAGTATGGTATACTGGTCAAAATGAATAAGCCAATATTGATAAACTCTTATCAACTAAAGTCCATGCTTTATAAGATTTCCTTAGTGTTTACCTAATGTTCTTTTTCTGTTCCAGGATCCCATCTAGGACACCACTTTACATTTGTGTCATGTCTCCTTAGGCTCCTGTTGGCTGGAACACTTTTTGAGACTTTCCTTGTTTTAAAAGACCTTGACAGTTTGGAGGAGTTCTGGTTGAATATTTTGCAAAATGTCCCTCAATTGGAATCTGTCTGATGTTTTTTCTCATTATTAGAGCAGGGTTATGGGTTTGGGGGAGGAAGACCACAGACATCAAGTGTCATCCTCATCACATCATAAGAACATCTTGGTTGTTCCCATTTTTAATGATTATGAAAAAGCTGCTCTAAACATTTGCATGCAGGTTGTGGTGCAACATACCAGCTTTTCTCTTAAAGACGGTTCTCAGAAACAGCTCTGTAACATTTCATCTATATGCCATGAGTTAAATTTAGTCACCTGGGCACACCTACTGGCAAGGGAGGCTGGTAAATGTAGACTTTATTCTGTGCCCATCTAAAATATAAGAGTTCTCTTACTAAGGGAGAAGGAATATGGCAGAAAACCAGCAGTTTCAGCCAAGGGACATAATTGAAAAGGAAGGAGACAGCATGGGGGAAGTATGAAGGAGAGAGTGAACTCAACCTCTGTCACTGAAGGAATGAAGAAAAGACTGGCCAACTACCACGGAGCCACAAAGTAAGAGCTTGTGGTGGGGAAATGTTAAAAAATTCACTCATTCAATAAGATGCATTGATGGTCCATCCGGACAATGGAATATTATCCAGAACTTAAAAAAAAAAAGAGCTATCAAGCCATGAAAAGACATGGGAGAAACGTAAATGCATATTACTAAGTGACAGATGCCAATCTCAAAGGGCTACAGACCATGAATCCTACTCTATGACATTCTGGAAAAGGTAAAACTATGGGGGCAGTAAAAAGATCAGTGGTTGCCGGGGAGTGGAGGAGAAACACATGAATAAATGGAGCCCAGAGAGCTTTTAGGGCAGTGAAAATACTCTGTTTGGTCCTCTATAATGGTGGGAAAATGTGTCATAAATTTGCCCAAACCCACAGGATGTACGGCACCAAGAGTGAGAACTAATGCAAACGATAGTCTTGGGTGATCATGGCGTGTAAATGTAGGTTCATCAATTGCAACAAACATACCATTCTGGTGACGATGTTGACAATGGGGGAGTTTATGCAAATGCAGGGGTGGGGGTAAGTAGGGTGTCATTTATATTCCTCTCAATTTTGCCATGAACCTATGAAAACGTATTAAGCATCTCAGGGAACAATGTGGGAGTGGCTCATGGCCCTCCTGAGGTTTACGGCCCAGTGATAAAAGTCGAACAATATTTTGGGTGAGAAAAAGTGTTGCGATGCTCTGAGATCTCTAACAGTCCAATAGGACAGGGCGTGGGGGGCAAGGGAGACTGCTGAGATGTCTACAAATTCCTGGATCCATGTATCGTTCTATAAGTTTGCTCAGATTTTTATTTGCAAAGTAGCTGCTTCTCTTTGAACTACAACACAGGACAGCTCTTGGTTTGGGGGCTGTCCATTGGTTTCTAATTTTCCTGTATAGGAAGCCATTCCCTTGGGCCCAAAAACCTGATGCTCAGCTCGGTGGATGTGGGGAGTGGTCTTCATGGAGGCAGCAGGCCTCTTTCAATAGAGACTCTACCTGCTATTTTCCTGATTCTCAAGGACTTCCAAGAATTTTCCTGGGAAATCAATTGGATGGCAATTCTGAGGCAGGTGCGGATCACCCAGCATTGCTCCAGGTGTGGGCAAAGCTTTCTGTAGGGTGAAATCAAGCACTTTAGGATATTTATCCATTCGTGTGAATTTTTAAGGCCTTCCAGTGATGCCAAGTGGCATTTCTCAGTTAAGGAATGGGCAAGTTCAAGTCTTCCTGAAGTCCCATCTTTAGAAGGTCTCTAAAGTTTATAATGACATCAAAGGCACTACCTCCAGGAGTCCAGGGTCTGACAGGCTGGCCCATAAGAACAGGTGGCACACAGGACCTCCCAGGCATTGCTCAGGGCTGACAAACATAGCAGAAATCCAGAAAGAGTTGGCGTTCCACCATGTTGGAATAAAAACACATAGAGATTTTATTTACTATGCCTTTGCTGGGGAGCCTGAAATACTCCCCCTGATACACACACACTGGGCCCAACCATCTCAAGATAGTCCAAAAAAACACAATAGGACATTTCCGTCTCTTTGGTCCCTACATTAAAATGTATTTTCTCCACCTCCTTTATGCCCCATAATAACTCGTGGCTCACAGAACAACAATCACACTTATGTCATCCTGCTCTGTCTTGTGAACTGCACACAGGACTGGCTCCCCACTAGATGTAAGCTCATTCAGGGTCTTGGGTCTGGTCCCCTCTGTCTTCTCCAGGATGCCCTGTGCTTAGCGCCTGGCTATGGCGTACACCCCAAGACTCAGCTGTCCTACTTATCAGGCCACATGACCTGGGGCCAGCTGCTGAGTTCACCTGAGCCTCAATTCCTCATCTGTACAATGGCGCGAACTCCCTCCTGGGGGTTGTGTGAGCACTAAATTGTGTAACAACAGATCAAAGTGCCATCATGCACCATGACTGGCCCATCACCAATGTCCAGAGAGCATTGGATGGAAATGAAAACAGATGCACATGAGTGCCAACGGGATGAATTCACAAGTGCGTGAATGTTTCTCTCCGGGATGGTGCAGGCAGTTAACAAGAAAAGGCTGGCGTTATGTTAATTTCCATTAATATCCTCGGAGGGCGTGGGGGAAGATGGACTGGCGTGCCTTGAAACACCATCAGATTCCGTTTTTTATCTCCTTTGCTACAGCTTTATTGTAGTGAAATATGTTCACTCTAGCAGAGGGCAATCATCCTAAATAGACAATGCAAGAGGCACGCCATGCCAGCGGGAATTTCCAGAGCGGCTGCCCGGGCCGCCCAGCTCCAGGCCGTTACAGTTTTATGTATGAAAACTGCCCGCGGGCGTGATTGCAGGGAGACCGCTGATGGATATTTGCTGCGGTTAGGCTGCATTAGACTCAATTTATCCCCCAGCACTCATTGTTGCTATTGATTGATTTTTAAATTAGATGAAGGCAATCAGTAAATACCACCCAATCAAGTTCTAAAAACATACAGGAGATTAGACAATTTAGGGTAATCAATGGGAATATTCTTTGATTTGCTACCACTCAATTTTGACCATAAATTACAACTATAACTTGCAAGTTAGTAAGCTATAAAGCAAGTGGATGTGACAAGAAAAACTATAAGAAATGAATTAAGGGGCCGAAGAAGTGCCACTGATGTTGTTTTATAATGAGGCAAAATCACTCTTCCTTCGTATCTTGCATTTCTTATTGGGCCTCGTCACCAGCGTTAGGTCGAGACATGCAGGATAGTTCAGGATTTGCCTGGATTTAAAAACAGAAAAGAAATTGTGGTGTGGAGGGTGGGGGGAGAAATCTGTGCATGAGAAGGATAAAACCTAATAGTCATTCTTCTAGCAGATGAGTCTGAACAATAACTGATCAAACTAATTTTGTGGTTGCAAACAAATATCACGGGATTTTAGGTTCAAAACCCCACGGTTTGTTAAAACCCTCACCTACCTCACAGACACTTTCAAATGCTAATTTGGAAGTCACACTTCTGTACTGTTATTTCCTACAAAGTCTAAAATGTAACAATAATTAAATGTAATTTTAGACTAGAACTTCATACTCTTGAAAAGCTATATTTGTCTGATTGTACAATGTGCCCATCTTCCATATTTTTAAGAGAGGAACACGCAGATTATAGATTTTATTTCTTTCTTCATCCAATGGACATATGATTTAGAGAAAATGAATGTGCTTTCAGGAGACCCTAGTTTCATAGCAAAGACAAAGATCCCACAGCAGCCTGCATTCATTCATTTATTCATTCATTCATCCATCCATCCACACATTCATTCATTTATGTACATGGACGTTGAAAGAGAGGCAGGCTGTCTCGGGGTTTCTTATCGGGGTTTCTTATCTCCTTCCCTTTCGTTCGTGCTCTTAGGAGTTTTGTAAAAATGGGGAACGAATAATCAAACTGTAGTGCTCTGCCTACACCTGTAAGTAATCTGAGGACTTCCTGAGCCATCAGACTAAGCAGCCAGCTCTGCTACCTCTGGGCGGAGGGCAGGATGGGCCTGGAAGGGCTCTCCTTTCTCGTCATGCTTGGGGAATGGGAGTGACTTATTGTGACACTGGTGGAGCTCACTGGCAGACAAGGGAGATTGGATTTAGGGACTGGATCAGGAAGCCATGGGACTATACTGCTCAGGGGTCCCCGAGAGACTGGTGCCGAGGGCCTACCCTTGGGACAGCCTTGGGGATTCAGGACAGGGGGACACCTCTGAGGACAGGGGCTTCTCTGGAAAGCAGGGGGCTGTGTGGAGAGGAAAAGTTTGAAGCTAAAGTTGTTGTTTTTTCAGGAAGACTAGTAACTTAATTTTTTTAAAATAAATGATCCTGCTCTGATTTTTAAATTAATACATGCTGACTATAGAAAATTTGGAAAATTCAGAAAATTATAAGGTAGAACATTAAAATCACCTATAATCCTAGAGCCCCAAATTACCACTGCCTTGATTCAGCTCCCTCCTGCTCCTCCCAGCCTTTGGCCAACATATACAAAAATAAACCGAGCATGGCTGGTGCCTGCGTTTTCATTTAACATTGCACTGTAGACATTGTCTCATACCATTGAGTTTTCCAAATAACACAGCCTCCACAGATGCAGGATTCTGCGACCAGGAACTCATGGGCACCCTTGCAGTGTATCCTTGTAACAGCCCTAGGACGGAGGCATGCTTGTTGTCATCTCGCCATTTTGCAGACGCGGTAACTCTGACTGGTGGAACTGGAGATGTGTGCTCCTGGGGGAGCAGCAGAGGCAAGATTCGAACCTGGCTGGTCAACCTGGAGCCCTTGGCTCCAACCAGCCATTATGGGATTTATGCTCAGGGCCTTGCAGAGATAGAGGGGCACTTTCATTACCAAAAGGAATCTGAGTCCTGGCCTCTGCCCTTTCCTCACTGTGCAGATCACTTTTGAGTTGCTTGATTTGTTCGATTCTTCATTTGCCACACACACCCTTGCCCAGGAGAATGGCTGGCACATAGCCCGTCTCAGAGCCTATTCACCGACTGAACACTTGGTGACAGCCTTCCTCCCAGGGCTGGTATGAGCACCAAGTGAGGTCTTCTCTGGGAAAGTGCTGTATACAGTGTAGAGCGCTGTACACTGTAGAGCAAAGTGTCCAGTCCACCAACTACCAGTGGTTCTTAATGATCCTTTAAAGCAGAGATTGCTGACTGCTGGGCTATGGTCCAGATCTGGCCAGCGGGCGGGTTTCATTTGACACGCATGGTGTTGAAACGTTTCTGAATTTGTGGCTAATATTTAAAAATCAGGAAATCTCAATGAAAAGAAAAATCCAGATTTCCCTCTTCTCTGGGAAAATCAGCAGACATGGCCACCGGGCCCACATTCCGCCATGGCAGCCGCTGGCTGGAAATGAGCAGCTGCCTCCTGCAGACGGGGATGTGCTCTCCCGGGCATCGCAGCCCTCGCATTCCCCTTTGTATCACACTTGCTCTGCTTCGTTCATTGACACTATTGCCCACCTGTTGGAGAGGGCAAGTTTCCCACGCTCACACTAAGTATTTCTGGGGGATAGAAGTCTGTTCCCATCTTCTCTCAGTAAACCCTGTAAAGGATGGCTGTCACTCAAATACGAGCTCCACTCGGTCCAGAGTCTGTCCTGTTGTATTCTTGCTGCATCCCAGCCGGCCCAAGCAGGAGCAGGCACCCAGTAGGTGAATGGATGAATAAAGACGCTGACAAGGTCTATAAGATGCAGGTGGTTTCCTGGGTGATGCAGGTGGAAAGCCTGCTGAGCCAACTGGTATTGGGGTCCCAGCAGGTGAAAGGTACCTGAATGAAGGTCCCTGTGGAGGCCAGTCAGCGAGACTGGGAAGGCCCCTGCGGAAGGTAGAATTGGCCAGCAGACTGCTGCTCCCCACGGCCTCTGCCACCCAGGAATCAGCTTCTCTTTGTCTTTCCGCCGTGGAAGGGAGGGTGCTAGACTGCAGGCAAGGGTCTCCTGAGGCCTGTCAGGGTCGGGGAATGAATCCTACCTCGAATCTGTTCTTTGCTTTGCAGGTTCCAAAGCATCCCCCTGCCTTGTCTTTTTAATGCCTCACCACCACCTTGGGGGATGAGGAAACACAGGTGGGCGGCTTGCCTGGTGTCTCACGGTGAATAAATGGCAGGGCTGAGCCTCCTCCTGGGCCCCGGCTCTGGTCTAGCCATCTTCGCCAACATGCCGCGGCTGCCTCCAAGGTGGGGCTCTGCCATGGCGGGGAGCTGGCTCTCTGAGAACGAAAGCAGCGTCCAGCAAGCAAACGCCTGAGAGCTGGTTCAGAGGCTCCTTTGGCCTCCGGTTCTCTGAAGAGAACCAGAGCAGCCATTTCCTCCCCAGAAGATGGGGGTGGAGGGGAATGGAGTTCAGGATTTGGGGAGCCTACTGGTTGAAGGTCAGAGGTCAGCCTAGTCCCGCCCGTTCAGAGGAGCTCAAGCAATTTACTTAACTCTCTGTGCCTCTGCTTTCCCTACCTGTGAAAGGGGGAGACCAACGGTCCCTGCCCCCCAGGGCTCCTGAGTCATGTCAGTCCAGCCAGCACACCAAGCGCTAGGACTCCAGGAGCACTCCCTATGTGACAGGTGCTGCTCGAAGCCCCGGACATGAGTCCCAGTGCCTAGCACATAGTAAATACCACGGGAGCGCTTGTTAAAGAAATCAGCTCCTCATGTCCCTGGAACCTCAGGAGACAGGATTCCTGTCATCCCTACTTTGTAAATGAGGAAACTGAGGCATACGGAGGTGATATAACTTGCCCAAGATTGTGCAGCTGCCAAGTGGAGGGGCTGAGATCCAAACTGGACCGCGTGGTTGCCGAGCACATATTCTTCAGCTCTGCCCGCCT